CCAGCACCGAGAGTCGACGTCTGGGCAGCAGCACGCCAGACTCATCAGAATATCTTTGTGCTCCTTGGAGTTGACATCTCTCGCTAGTAGACTAAGCCTTGGCTTTCGTGTACTAAGGGAGGTGGCAGCTTGAAGCCAGTATTCCAGCACCGCACATATTAATTTATATTGCTATCACTAATTTTGCATTCTTGTCTTAGAGTAACTTTTCATTGCCAGTTATTATTCATGTTATTTTGTTTGTTGACCAGTGTTAAATTTTATGAGATTGTCTTTATTCATGTCTTGTTTTCTAGAGTAATTAAAGTTTCATTGTTTATATACTTGTGTTTTGTGTGTCTTCCCATTACCTTACCACAGACGAAAGGACAAACTTTTTTTTTTTTTTTTTGTGATGTGACGAGGCCCTGCCCCCAGCTTTTGAAACAGCCGAACACCAACGCTTTACCGTCACACCAGGAATACTCTATACTTGCTGATTGATGAAGATTAAGCCACCCGGGAGGTGGCACGGGCATGAATAGCCCGTAAGTGGTAGATTTTACTTTTTATTTCTAGTAAATGTATACTATGTGCTGAGGTCGCATTTAAATCGTCAGGCTGCTATCGCGGGGGAGGATACTGCTTGACAGTGTTTATGAGGTGTCCAGCTGCTGGACACCTTTTTTTGACCAAGAGAGTGGCAGTGTTGATATCTTCAGGGTGGTTACTGCAAGATTCAGGGACTCTTAAAACTCTTCTAAGGTCGTTGGTTGCTTCACATTCCAGGAGATAGTGAAATAGTGACTTTTCTGTGATCGTTTGGCAGAATATGCATTCTCTCTGTCGGGGTTCACCAATCTCCCAGTTGCATCTGGAACCTACACGTAGTCCAGATAACCGAACTGCTATTTCCCTGAAGATTACCTTTGGGATATTTAACCTTTCTAACTTGGTGGTCTGAAGATACTATATTGAATACGGCGAAACTTCTGCTACTCTCTGGTGTAAATGAGCTTTGTTAAGGTGTCAGAGTTTTTGGATGATTTTTTCATGTACTCTAGGCTGCCTCCTCCCCATCGTGGGAAGAGCCTACCTTCAAAATAGTAATAGAAGGTCTTCCAATGAAAAACGCTGCCTATGATAAAACAATCATAAGGCGAATCATAGAAAAGCCAATGAGCGGCATTGAAATAGCAGGAGCCACCCACATCTTCACAGACGGATCGGTTGACACAGAATATGAGTGTTGGCGCTGCTCTTTGCGCGGACAACGAAAAACCATATTGGTGACTGAGGACCAGTATCATCAACTCAAACTGAGCTGTTTGCCATACAACAAGCAATAGCATTTGTAATTGCACAAAACACTCAAAATCCAAGCATTCACACAGATTCAAAAGATCCACTTCAAATATTAGGACAAAAGCAGTGGAAAGACAACGTGGAAATAACTACCATCATTTTGTATCTTGGAACAGTAGCTAAAGGTAAAAGATTCATCATAACCCAAAACTGGATCCCATCCCATCCCATATTGGAATCCGATTATATACTTGCTGCTTGGTCAGTAGGCTACTATGATGGCCTTGATAATTCGCCAAATATTGACAGGCCTTATAAGTCCAACACCTAACTAAATGTGGACAAATAAAAGCCTTTTGTATTACAGATAATATAATCTCGCTGGTCTGGAAATAATCGCACTAAAACAAAAACAATATAACCGAAAAGGGATAAGTGTTCATGTTAATGACACGAAGTGTAAACTATGTGGTATGTTAAGGTCTCACACCCTCGCCCATTATGTTCTTGATTGTCTGTTGATTAATGTATATAGAAACACTGAGGTAAGGAATGTTCCTGAACAAATAGCCTGGATGTGTCACAACGGAAAGGTTGATATTCTTGAGAGATATAAGAATTTTGCATCATGACTAATCTTTTGTTGAATTATCTGCATGTATCTTGCCAATTGTCTACACAGTATACCTAGGTCATAAAAGTATTTGTGTGTACGTCTGATACCATACTACTTGTGTAAAGGAGGAAATGTAGATGTTTATCTCTCAGAATGTTTGGTAATATGTTTATTGTTTGTGATGTGTGTATATGTATGTATTAACACGTTGTACTGAACGGGGTGAGAATAGCTTGAGCTACCTCATCCCTTTGTGTGTATTTTACATCAAAAAACTTATTTCAATTTCAATTTCAATATAACCGAAAAAGAACTATAATCTAAATTGGGTTCTCTACTATAACGAAGATATTTTAATTTCAAAGATTTGTTTTCGCAAGTACAGGAAAGAAACTTAACGAGGAATAAAAGTTAATAATTGTCGTGGCACAGTGGTAAAGCACACGCCGACCATCTTCACTTGGTATCCATTTCCATTCACGGGCTATTCATTCGTCCCTGAAGATGCCAAATGTTCACAATTATAACACAGTATAACCATCTACTGGCCCTGGTTCAAATCATAGCCGGGGAGGACTGACTGCGTGTAAATGAATGTGTTTTTAAACTATTTGGCGCGTCGTAATCCAGGAAAATTAGGAGTAAAAACGTGCACGAAACGCAATGCGTGCTAGATGCTTTACAATAATTTAAAAACTCTTGTATATTCACTATCATCCTGTAGTACTGTACTGTAATGCTAAATTATTGGGCGGACCTCTGTAGTACAGTCGAGTTCGGCCTCGACGCACAATTGAGAGTTCCGGGTTCAAATAACAGGCGGAGCAGAAATTGATGAGCACATTTCCTTTTGCCTAATGCCTGTGTTCACCTAACAAAGTAGGTAGTTTGTCAGCTTTTTGTGGGGTTGCATCCTGGACGGGGTCAGTAATTTGACTCTCTGGGGAGGGAAGACAACCATAAAAACCTAACGTGTATGAATACACTCTGGCTTCCTGTCCCCAGACACAGTGAAATAAAGTAAATAAAATAAATTAGTTCGAGTGTTAAAGGTGGTATACACGTCATCTGTTTTAGGCGTGTGGGCCACTGGATACTTACTGTTTCTCTCCTATAAGGCCTTTCAGACCTTTCACAGAAGTCAAGGGTCTGGGAAGATCATATATTTGTTAAGCTGTGGAGTAAAGTTGGGTTTATAGTTAGTGAACTACAACAGTGGACACACTGTATAATGTATGATGTTTTGAGTTGTTATGAAGGAAGCCGGAACTCTTTTCTCAATTACTGTGGAGGGTGCTAGCGGAGTTAAATGTACAACAGAGGGTGCACAACAGTTAGCCATTTACTGTGTACACACATATATTGTTAAGTTATCCGTCATTTTCATGAAAGAAAACGTTACCTGTCTTTATTATCCCGCCTCGGGATCGAATCTGAGATCCTCGATTGAAGGTTGAAAAGGTAGCTACAGTACCAGTTGTAAGTTACACCTTAACAACATTCACTCAAACACAAAAATATGTTGTACTGTGTTGTGATGTGTTGGTTTGTATGGTTTAGAGGGGAACTTAAAGCACTTAACACTCACCTTTACAAGACAATACAATAACACTCGTGCAGGAAGTCAGTGTGTTTACCATACCATTGCTGGAAACTCGGAGCTGAAGCTCGACCATGTGTGATAGTCTTGTGATAATTGTGAACTTGATAATTGTCATTGACGACAGATATAGTGGTTTAATCTCATCTTCTTTATTTTGGAAATATTAAAAATATTTAAGTATAATTAATATTATTTCAAACAAATCTATTTATTTCATTAAAACTTACGTACTTTTTTAATTTATAAATAGAATTTAAAATTATTAAGAAAATTAACATATTACATATTTTTTCACAAATACTAGCATAATTGTTTTTTATATTTTTAAAAATAATAATTATATATATGTAGTATTTCTGGTTGCAAATAAGATGTAATTTACCTTGAATTTACCTTGAGATTATTTTTAAAATCAGCAACTTCGCTGATTTATATTATCATATTTATTGTTATTAACTCTCACGAGCATCTTACTGAGAGTTTTGTCAAGGGAACTGAGCTGACATCCGAGGGGTAACTATACCAGCGGTAAATGTGTCCCTGACGATGCCAAAGGCTCACAATTATAACAACACACCAACAACGTCACATTCCACAACATTATACCGAGCACATGAACAACCACAACAGTCTCGTTGATCTTCCACCACCCCTCATGTATACACCTAACACGGATCACAAACACACCATTAACACAATAAACACATCACAAAACAGCCCAACCATTCCCATCTGGGTATAATAACATCGTTTTTGTGTTTGAATCAATGTTAACCTGAATTTACCTGATGGCCACTATCTCTCTTAAGGGAAGACCTCGATAAAAGCCTAACGTGTGTGAATGTACTCTGGCTTCCTGTCCCCAGACACAGTGAATTAAAATAAATAAAATAAAGTAGTTCGAGTGTTAAAAGTGGTATACACGTCCCCTATTTAAGGCGTGTAGGCCACTGAGTACTTACTGTTTCTCTCTTATAAGGTTATTCAGACTTTTCACAGAAGTCAAGGGTCTGGGAAGATTATATATTTGTTAAGCTGAGGAGTGGAGTTGGGTTTCCAGTTAGTGAACTACAAAAGCAGATACACTGTATAATGTATGATGTATGGAGTTGTTGTGAAGGAAGGAGGAACTCTTCTCCTAATTGTTGTGGAGGGTGCTATCAGAGTTAAGTGCACAACAGTTAACTATCTACCATGTCAGCACCCGGGACGCTGTCGGGTCAAGACGTACCTGCTCCGCGACTAGGGGTGAAGTTGGTATTGGAATTTAGCTCAGTCTTCACACAAGATGCCTGACTAATATCAATCGCATTCTTCACATCTCCCCCCATGCTGGGAACCGAGATGGAGAATCGGATAACAGAGGGACTTGCTACTCACAACGACAATATTGACAAAGACAGACTCAGAAGGCAGCCAGTCAGTAGAAGAGAGTAATTTTCATGAAGGGGACATATTACGGGTAAAGTAAAAGTTGTTCAATTTGTTTATAAATTTATTTATGGAATGGTTATAGAAAGGGCTGCAACTGGTCCAAGTTTCAGCATCACACCCTAAATAGAAAGGGATAAAAAAATACACAACGTATTATGCAACGAATTTTCAACATTTTCACAAAATTTCAGGGAACACATGTGTCAACTAAAATCATTTCCATAACACTCAGATATCACATTAGCATATAATAAAGGATTATACACAGCAGTTTTATAAAAAAAAGTGTTTAGTGCAATAATACAAGTACTCAAAGTTACCCTTCCAAAAATATGCAATATATGATGTTTATAAATATTTATAAAATCAAATGGACTTTGGACTAAAGTGTTCCGTACAATTGTAGAAGCACAAACTCTACATATAAGGTGTAATTTGCAGGTAAATTGATTAAAAAATGAAAGCTGTGAAACAGCATGAAGTTGTAAATTACTTACCTGAGTAAAATAAGATCAAAGTTTGGCCACCTGTTGCTGAGCTTGACGTCGACCGATTTCGTTCATAATTGGCACCCTTGCAGATAGGCATCCATTGAGCAAGGTGTGCAAGTTCCATGCAAATCCCCTGATAACAAATGGAAAAAAAATTGAAAAAAAAAAATATATAAATATATATTATATATATAAATATATATATATATATATATATATATATATATATATATATATATATATATATATATATATATATATATATATATATATATATATATATATATATATATATATCCTGCACATACATATTACAATTATTACCAAATATCAAATTATAACACTAAAACATACTAACCTATTGAAATTGGTCCGAATTGTGGGTCCTCAAGGTGGCACTGCAATAGGCACTAATTGGCACCTGGCCCATATCCTGGATCATCTTCCTCAGGAGCCTGTCTCGGCTTGGTGGTGCGTCTCGTTGGTTTCTGCATCAACTTGTCCTTTGTACTCAAGTACCAATCAGTTAGATTGTTCTGAGGTATACCAATGAGGCTGGTCAGAGATCCCATGCAATACCCAGAGTTGTAGTTGTTGGCTGTTACTGCCATGGCGAAGTCAACCATTGTACGACCAACAAATCTGTCTTTGGGGGCCATTGTCCAAACTCGGTGGTGCAGAGACTCATTTGGATTTTGAGTCTTTCCCTTCAGACACTTATTCATGTTATCTTCCGAGACAAGGTTGCAGTAAATCTTCATGACCTCAGTCATGTGCTTGCTGGGTAACTGAAATTGTACAATCATACTTTTGTGTGATCGTGGGGTTTTGGCATTTGCAATGTCCTGTTGGTAGAAACACCAAGAGTCTTTGCCTTTAGGGCAGTGCATGTGTCTTGGCTTTTCATCTGTGGACGTTGCATGCAACAGTCCTGAAAGGCAGGCATCTTTCATTGTTTTCCAGTCTGTGTTGATGTTGTCCCTGATCGCTTTGCTGAAATTACTTGACAACTTCAAAATAGTTTTGTCAGTTAGTTTTCCTATACCTTTCACTAGGGACATTCGTCTTGACTTCCCTTTTCACTCCTTGACTTCAACAGCTGATTTCTGTAGGTTGTGCAGCTGTGTTGCAAGTCTTTTGCTGAAGTGATTTATACACTCAGTCTTTTCTACCTTTGTGTCACCGTATGGTCCATTACCTTTGTTCATTGCACAAACCTTATTGTAAGCAGACGAGTCACCGTCCCCAACGAAGGTCGTATACCTGAGTTTATTCCTTTCTGATCTACCCCACATCAACACTACTGCATCAGCCTCCATATTCTTCGCACTAGAATAATAGTTTTTATCACACGTTGGACGATGTTCAGCCATTTCACTGTCAAACTGGTTTAATTTTCTACTTCGTTTCCACCGTTTGAATTGTTGGCACTTGGAGCAGTTTTTGCAGAAAATATTATAGTCAGCTACCATGCCAGTGAATATTTCAACCCACAAACGCAGTGCCAATCTGTGAATGATGGCCCCTTGTATGCCATGATCCGTCAAATGACACATCAATGTCAAGGGATGCCATCAACGGGTTCTCTATGTAACTGTTTTATGTAATGGTCAAATATTATACCCCGAGTGTTTTCTTGCACACCCGGCCACTTTAGATTAGCAGCATCTCTGACATGATCCTGCCACCTTTCATACACCTTCTGTGACACACATGTTATCCTATTTATGGAACACCAACGTCCGTAAAATATGTACCCATGACCATTTAGCATATTGCAGTACACTAATGCCTTCAGAATATCGTATTCTGTCTCCAATGGTCGTTTGATGGAAAGTTTACACTTAGTACAGGTTCTGATAATGTTCACTAATGACTTTATGAATGTGGAAAACTTCATGGCAATACATACATGCATAATTTTCATCTAGGTACTTTTCAATGTGCCTGTCTGTCACCAGTATCACCGTCTCACGTGCATCTTTTTGACGTTTTATTACTTCCATCTCATTATCACTGTCAATGGATTCTTCTGTCTGTTCTCTAAATATTTTCAATCGCCTTTCAGCACTGCTCGGTGTATTTATACGCCTTTTCGAAACTCTGGGAGTCGCCACTGCCACACCAGTAGATGTAGATGCACTGCCACACCATATGTAGACGGCACTGCCACACCAGCCACAGCAGTAGATGGCACTGCCACACCAGCCACAGCAGTAGATGGCACTGCCACACCAGCCACAGCAGTAGATGGCACTGCCACACCAGCCACAGCAGTAGATGGCACTGCCACACCAGTAGATGGCACTGCCACACCAGCAGATGGCACTGCCACACCAGCCACAGCAGTAGATGGCACTGCCACACCAGCCACAGCAGTAGATGGCACTGCCACACCAGCCACAGCAGTAGATGGCACTGCCACACCAGCCACAGCAGTAGATGGCACTGCCACACCAGCCACAGCAGTAGATGGCACTGCCACACCAGCCACAGCAGTAGATGGCACTGCCCACACCAGCCACAGCAGTAGATGGCACTGCCACACCAGCCACAGCAGTAGATGGCACTGCCACACCAGCCACAGCAGTAGATGGCACTGCCACACCAGCCACAGCAGTAGATGGCACTGCCACACCAGCCACAGCAGTAGATGGCACTGCCACACAGTAGATGGCAGCCACAGCAGTAGATGGCACTGCCACACCAGCCACAGCAGTAGATGGCACTGCCACACCAGCCACAGCAGTAGATGGCACTGCACACCAGCCACAGCAGTAGATGGCACTGCCACACCAGCCACAGCAGTAGATGGCACTGCCACACCAGCCACAGCAGTAGATGGCACTGCCACACCAGCCACAGCAGTAGATGGCACTGCCACACCAGCCACACCAGCAGATGGCACTATGGCACTGCCACACCAGCCACAGCAGTAGATGGCACTGCCACACCAGCCACAGCAGTAGATGGCACTGCCACACCAGCCACAGCAGTAGATGTAGATGGCACTGCCACACCAGTAAATGTAGATGCCACTGCCACATCAGTAGATGTAGATGGCACTGCCACATCAGTAGATGCCACTGCCACACCAGTAGATGTAGATGGCACTGTCGTGGCCGGTCCATACACATGGAGGCGTTGAGAGAGGGGCTGGGGTCGAGGAGGGTGTGTGAGGGTGGTCGAGGAGGAGGGTGGCGGCGGCGTCAGGCCTCTCACAGCTGAAGTGGGGAGTCCTCCTCGATCTTCACTTGATATTACTCTTCCTTGCGCTAAAGCGGCTCTCCTTTCCTGCTGAAGACGGCGACCGCGTGCCATATTGGCTGCTTTTAACTTCTGAATCCTCCGCTTATAGGTCATTGTGCGCTAGATGCCACAAAAGCGAGATTCCAGGGACAAAAATGGAGAGCGCGTCGACAGAAACTCCACACACAACAGGACACACCATGTGACTGGTGGCTTGCTGCCTCACTCACCCCCACTAGGAGGAGACGTTGCCAATGAGTGTATTGTATTTATTGTCATACATACAGAGTTATTTCCGACGTTATTTCGGAAAAATTGACGTTTAGAACGTACGACGCAATACCCTTGGCGCGCTACAGCCGCCGGGCACCGGATTCTGCACAATTACGCATGCAAATGTACCATAAATACTTTAATTTATATCATAACATTATCCGGTTTGCGCCAAAGTTTTGCCAGAACGTTGTAGTATTTTTATAAATATTTCAAAATATTTTTTTTATTTTTTTCGAATTTTTTCGTGTCGTATGTCAAATGTTTATTGTGCACCCCATACTCATCCTGTGAGCGGTAGCGCAAAAGCATTACAGAGGGCACAAAAGGTCTTTATTAGACCTCATCTTAGATTATTACATAAACAATTTCATCTATCCGTCCTGGACCATTCTCAAGTCGATTGTCGACTTGAGAATGCCTCAATTCGAGGCAGTTATGTTTCTAACCCAGAAAGGATATGGTGTAATTGTTATGCAAATACCAGAGAAGAACGAGAAACTGACGAAGGTAATTATCTACAAAATACCCTTATGTTCTAGACCCCAAATTCATCCTCGACGACCAACGATTTGTGTGGGCAAATTGTCACCTTATTAAAGGTGAAGCTAGGAATTAGGTTGTTTCTCTAATGAGGGGTGAAGTTCCCGAGAAAGTGTTCATTACCGGGGTGGGCTACAGGCATGTAGCAAAGTATGTGAAAAAGCCCATAATATGCCTGAAATACTGCAGAAGGGGCATAAATCCTGGAGCTGTCAACATGATCCACGATGTCGTTTCTGCGGAAAATCTCACCTCTCTAATGTGTGTAGAAACAAACTTAAGCTGAGTGAGAAAATAGTTCCCAGATGCTGCAACTGTGGAGGTGTTCACAATGCCAGCTCGGCTGTGTGTAGCAAGAGGCCGAGTATGGATGTTCCCCGGCCGGTGAATGTTACAGAGCAAGCAAGAGCTCTTACCCAGACACCGGGAGCACAGCAGGACAGTCTGCCCCAAACAGCGCCAGTGAACCGGACGAATGCGTGGGTAAAGGAGTCACCTTTACTTCGTCAGGCTCAAGCAACAAGCAGCCACGCCACCACTCAGGACTCCGGCAGTGACAGTGTAACGGTGAGTGAAGTGGCTACTGTGGCTCAGAAAGAGGGCCATAATGATATGGGCAAGGAGGTGTGGGCTGAACTAAGAAAAGTTGGTGAGTTCCTCCGAAATCTTGGGCAGAGAATCGAGTCCATCGAGGCGAAATTAAACGTTCAGGAGGTCAAGGAAAGTCACACAACTTTGAATTAACGTCAGGATATAGTGGTTGAGGACAATAATGAAACAATGAGTGATGAAATGAAGGAAAGTAAAGTGTGTGTAAATGATGGTAGTCGTAGTGAAAGGAAGAACTCTTTTCTTCTTACTTTCACTACGACTACCATCAAGGTAGAAGAAAGGAGGAAAGAAGGAAGAATTAAACATAAAATGAAGGAATCATTTGGGCCAATAATGGACGTCAAAGGACTGAAAAAATCTCTCAAGAAACGCAAAGTTGCTTTTACCGGTGAACTTGGGAGGAGGTGGGAGATGCATTACAAGGTACGGCTATTATTTTGTGAACTTATTGGGGATGACTTAAACATCACCCTAGACTGAAAATGTTGTCATGGAATGTTAATGGTTTAAGAAACAGGGTTACAGAGGTTCATTGTTATGTGATGGGAAATGATATTGATGTTGTAGCTCTCCACGAGACAGGGGATAGGAATGAAGGATTATTGAAATTAAATGGCTATAAAGGGTTTCCACCTCCTCACCACTAGTAACATAAGAGTTTGGCTACAGTAAATTTATGTTAAGAACTCCATACCAGCAGAGTTAGTAGAACCGCCGTCAAAAACGCAAGGTATAGAGAGTGTCTGTGTTAAATTATCATAAAATGAAGAGGAATTTATTATAGTTAATTTGTATGTATCCAGGAACTGCTTCGACGCTAACTATTTACCTGACTGCATTTATACTAATCCTTCACTGGTCATTGGGGACCTTAATGCTCGGCACACAAGCCTTGGGACAGTGGGTAGTATTAATACTAATGGGGTCAAGTGGTTACAGTTTCTACAAGATCATTCAGATACCTGTCTCTTGGGAAACAATGAACCAACTCACATCAGGGGAGGACGGCTTGACTATGCCTGCATTTTAAACTCTCAGGGGATTATGGGGGAGGCTCGGGTTGTTCGGGAACTACTTAGTGACCACTTTGCCTTGAACGTTGAATTACCACTGGGGAAAAAACAAGTCCACTTTCAAAGGAAAAGACTAAATATTAATAAAGATATGAAAAATTATTTTATTCAAAATATGGGAGATTGGAATCAACAATACACGCCGCTCTGCGTTGATAGTTTTTACGAGGACATGGTCGAGAACATTGAGTAATTAGTACAGAGGGAAAATAACGGGGGCAGGGGAAGCAAGACGCACGGACCTAAGAAATTTAAATATTCCAATGATCAGCAAGTTAAGGGGTGGGAGAGAATGCTACGGAGTGCACATAAAGAATGGTTAAAAAATGGAATGAGGTATGAAGAGAAAAATACAATGTTGAAAGTAGCTAGGGAATGCAGTCAGGTGAGGAAGGAGGCGCGGGACAGATACTGGCAAGACTTTGCTCAGTCCATTGGTAATACTAAGAGCCTTAAAGACATATGGAGAGCTGTAAAAAAAATTAAGATGAAATTCATAGCTCACTCAGATCCAGGGAAGGTTGCTAATGAGTTAGTAGATAAATGGGCAAGTGCTGCTGGTATGGAGTCCTTACCTGCAGACACGAGAGTCACCATTGAGTCATGGGAAAATATTAGAAATGGAGTAACTTTATATGCTTTAAATACAAGATCTGTAATATGCACTGAGATAACTCACGATGAGCTACTGGATGCTATAAAAAGTGGCAGCTCTACTGCTCCGGGGAAAGATGGAGTAACGTATGACATTCTTAATTATTTAGCCGGTATGAAACCTAGTCCCTTACTTGATTTGTTTAACATGAGTTATAGAGAGGGAAAGTTACCAAGAAAATGGAAGGAGTCTGTCATCATTCCTATCCCTAAGTCAAACGGAGGCTACAGGCCTGTCTCCTTAACATCCTGCTTTTGTAAAATGATGCTGTTGTTGTTTTAGATTCAGCTACTCAAAACAAAAAGTTCCAAGTAGCATGGGGTATGGTGAGCCCGTTAGTGGAGGCTCTTTGGAGCCATTATCTGTATCAATAGCTGATACTGGAGATCTGGGGATGGACGGGGGTCTTCATGGTGGATTTCAGCCCTAGAGGGCTGGCTGTAACAGTTATGGAGCTGGTGGGTTTAGTGTAGACTTCTAGGTCTTCCTTTTTTTCTTTGGTTGAGACTTTGGCTGAGCCATGACATTGGTGAGGTGGCCTCCATGAGAAAGTCTTGTATCGAGTAGGTGTCGAACACGGGAGACATCTGTCACGCAGGGTGCAGTCGCACCTCCACAGATCACCACAGATGGCTCAAAAGGGCCACCACTTACGGGCTATTCATGCCCGTGCCACCTTTTGGGTGGCTTAATCTTCATCAATCAATCAATCAGGTGTCGAATTTGTGCTGTAGCGGTGGAGCTCCTACTAAGATTCCCTCGTCTGAAGAGTCCGTAACAACTGTAGTTGGTAA